ACAGTTAGACCACTAAACAAATAATGGGAAGTTCGATCAAAGCCATGCAAAGTAACACGCGTCGAAACGATGGGAAAAAACTGACCTTCCTACCCAAGACTGGCGAAAGGAAAATTTTTGGGGGTAATTTGTTGGCTCTCAATTTTCGACGCTAGTCAAGCTCAGAATTATCTTAAGTCAAAATACCAATATTTGAAATATGGGATATTTTCGACCTAACCAAGGAAAACCCAGATCAAAGAGAGATGGACAAAGTTGCTAAAAAATACTAAGTGTTGGAAAACGCTCGACGAAGGCCATGCTGAAGAGAATGCAAAGACATTTCAACCAAGTTGGAGGGAATTATCAAATATTCAAAATTCAAACTAAGCAAGGGAGAACGTGGGAGCGGCTGAGATAACAAAGAAGCGCCAAAAGAAACAAATTGGCTCAACCATCATGTAGTATTTATTCTATAGCGCTATAAATATGTGTTAATTTTATGTAATAAGGATGTTCATTCATTTCTGTACTAATCACCCCATACGACTCAAAGTACCCGCGTGTAGAGAAACGAGTTAGCGAGAATGTACGTGATACAACACCAAAACCTTTTTCATCAATGCAGTTTACTTATCTTTGCCATTTACTTGTCACTTTTCAATTTCAACCTTTACATTTAAAACTTTTTTTATAAGCTTTCCATCCTTTTATCTTAAGACCCCCTAGTCGAACGTGGAGTTCAGATTAGAGTTATTTTTAGAGTAATTTACTTCCTTGCAAATTTATTTTCAAAGTTATTTACTTTACAAAGAGTTTGTAGTCGAACGTGGAGTTTGATTGTAATCTTTTCGCCATTTACATTACTGCAAGTTATTTTCAAAGTTATTTACTTTACAAAGAGTTTGTAGTCGAACGTGGAGTTTGATTGTAATCTTTTCGCCATTTACATTACTGCGAGTTATTTTAAAAGTTATTTACTTTACAAAGTCATTTACATTCTGGCATTTAGTTTCGACTTTACTTTTTTAAAGCCTTTACATTATTTGCACTTTACATTCTTGCCTTTATCTTCGACGCATTACGTATTTTCTAAAGGATTTCGCAGTCGAACATGGAGTTCAGCTTAGGGTCTTTTTTTACTTAGCACGTGTTCTAGGATTTAGTATGGTCAATTCTTCAAGTTAGTCAAATTTACCCTAAATTGATAGACCAGCGTTTGTTTACCAAAATTCACAGTAAACACATGCATAAAACTTTGGTTAGATTTGATCTTAATCTAAATAGTCTTTGATCAATAGCATATGATAGTGAAATGAAATCACTTTGTGTTTTTTAACAAACTTTGATTAAAGGTAAAATCTCAATAAGTTTTTGAAAATTTGAGATTTTACAAGATTGTTTCGAATCATTCAGTTTTACATTGAATTTTTGATTCAGATCAAATTGGGTAGGAACTTAACTCAGGAATTTGATCCTGATAAGATTTTACACTTGATCCTTATCATTTACCTTGGGATAAATTTTATCTAATTTGATTCGAATCAAAATTTGTACGTGAATCGAATAAATTTCAATTTTTAAAAATCATGTTTGATTTGATTCAAACCAAACTTTTAACATGATTTAAATCAAATAGTTTTTCCTAAAAATCACATTAATTATGGGCTATTTGATTCGAAATACTTTTTGTTCTTGATTCTAATAATAAGAGATTTGATTCAAATCATGTTTCCTCTTATTCCAAATCAACTAACATATTTTTCAAAAATTAGCTATTTCTTTCATTTCACCTAATTTCCCCCATTTGGTTCAAATCACATTTTTCTTGATTCGAATATAACCATCTTTTTTTAATCATTTTGCGTGCTTTATCTCAAACACATATAAATTATTTTTGTCATCATTATTTAATAATAATCAATCATTCTGTTAAGATTTTTCAATGTGAGTTTGTGTGAAAATCAATTTCCCCTGCTTTGAGTGTTCAAAGTCTTGTTACGAATTTCTCATATATTCAACTTTAATTGAGTTCAGATCTTAGTAACGAGAGCTCTGAGATTGATTGAAGGAGTTAAGTACTTGAAACTAACTGCTCATGGAGATCTTGTTGAGTTTTCAGGTTGTTAGCAAGAAAGAGGGATTGTTAATGGCGTGACAAATTCCATTGAAAAAAATATAGGTCTTTCTCTCTAGGAATGCCTTAGTAGTAATTGTATGGAAGGCTACAGATAAGGCCGAGTTATTCTCAGATCTTCTGACAATATCACCGCTCAAGGAATCAGTAGGATCACGGATTTAATAGGTACACACAAAGGTTATAAGCAGAATTAATGTTATTGGAAGGTTCAAGAAACACATTCGATAAAAGATTACACAGAAGAGTTTGACAAGTTTGTTGTATACAAGTCAATATCCAAATTAGGAGATTTATTTTCTCAATAGTAATTGTATATTGGTGATTGTATGAACTTTTTGAAATATTTATCAAATAGCAAGGAGCTATGCAGGTTCCAATGGGAAACCATTGAAGTGTGCACGTAGGGCAAGCAAGGACAAACGCTGAAGTACTATAAATCTCAGTGTCATCTCTCTAACTATACTCTTGTATTATACTCATAGGTATTGAATTCTAGGTTTTTTAAATCCTTCTTATTATATCGTTTTGTTCCTAATAGTGATTAATTACATAAAGCTTAGGTTTTGTTGAAATTGGACAACTAGTCAAGCTAGTATTATGATTGATAAATTGAAAAATGAATTGAATTTATGATTCATCACATTGGATTAATTATGTACAATTTTTGTGACTACACAAATTGAATCAATTCATACCAAGCATTTCATTGTTATAATATTGAATATTTGTAAAACGAATTGGGTTAGCTTGATCATAATCAATTGTATAATTTTCACTTTTGCTTCAAACCTTCTGCTCGCAACTCATTTTTATAATACTATGATTTTGGAAAACTGCGATTGCATTTTTTAATTTGGGTTCATTCACCCCCCTTTAGATTGTTTTTCTACTTCCATATCACACCCAACAGAAATGATAAGGTCTCAATATGCCATCTCTCTACAAATGCATTAAGCATCCTATGGTTCATTTAAACATAATTGGTCTTGCATAAGTCCTTCATCCCAGATAGCTGTAAAGCAGTTTGTAACCACTCATCAGTAGGTCGATGCAAGAAATCTTCCGTCCATGGTTAATGAATTTTAACAGATCGCGATCCTGAAGAAAAATAAATCATCATAAAAAATTTGTATTATAATAATAAACTTAATTTAAAAAGAATGAATCCAACCAAGTTTATCTCTCTGTCCCAAATATGTCTGGTAGTATGGTCCGGGTAAAGAGGTAGTATTGATAACTTTAACGGGCCTCCTCCAATACCTTTGCTGCTTTATTAGCTTGAGGTCCCTTCTGTGTCTAGGATGGCACTAGTGCCTCTAGTGACTGAGGTACTTCTGGTGACTCGCGTACCTCTACTGCTTGAGTATGTGAAATTTGTCGCTTACGAGAAGATAGAGGCAATGATGTGTTACTAGGTGACACACTTCTCTTATGGGAAGAAGAAGGTGGAGATATACGAGTCACTGAAATCTACGCCTTCGCATACACCAGACTAGATGGAACAAGAGCCTGCGAAACCTAACTATTTTCCCTCTAGACAGATGCATGTTGTGCAATTCTGCCATGCCTCAATTTGTTGTTTCCATCAGCCATAATGCTTGTAAGTAAACCAGACAAGTGTCACATAATTACTACAAACAACCATACGAGCAAGACAAGCAAAAAAAATGCAGACTGATAAAATATGAAGATGCATCTTTGGTTCCTGGGAATCCAAACGTTGAAAAAATATGGAGATACATCTCTGAGTTTTCCTACAACTTTCATTTTCGTCAATGGCGATAATGCAAATCACTAAGACCTCCAAAAATAATGCATTAATCATTACTTTTAACTATAAAACACATTTCTCATAATGTATCAACGGTCAAACATGCATAAACTATGTATTTCAATACCTAATCATCAGTTTCTATAAATTTATACAAAAACTTAAAAAAAATTACAATAATAAAAAACTTTTAAATGAGAAATCTCTGAAGTTGATGTACTTGAATAAACTTTTTGATGTAGTTGATGTTGATTGAAGAAGTTTTGATATTGCTTGATTGATTTTGAGAGAGTTTTAGAAAAAAATTTGTTTTTTTAACAAGTAAGGAAGAAGAAAGATTCTGACGCGTTAATACAAGCAGCACCCGAGAAGACGCATCTCCGTAATGTTTACAAAGATATATTTCCATAATTTTTTCACATCAAATCAGGCTTTTATTGATTTATGGTACGTCCAAAAATGCATCCTTAGATTCTAGATACATTTTTGTATTTTCACTTAGTGATAGATACATACATATATATACTAATAACATAGAGATTTTTTATACTATTAATTATAACTGTTGATTTATTTGGTAGTATAGAACTTTTTATACTTATAAAAATTAGCGTTCAAACAAACACGTTTTATAAGCGTTCAGATAGGTACTCGCGTGCCTGTCTATCTGCTTTTTTAATGCACACGTAAAAATTTAAATAAAATTTTTTATTTAATATTAATTTTAAATAAAAATTATATAAAAAATTAATAATAAAAAGTTAGATAGAAAGCCAGGAAAAAACTTAATAGAAGTTATATATAAACAAAAGCGTATGTGGGCTTGTGTATCAGCCCTTTTCAGTGTATCAGCTCTTTTCAATAAAAATAAACAAAACGTTACCCATTTTCGAATAAAAATAAACAATCTCTTCTGATCTCATCATCGCATAGATATTCTTATTCCTACACCCGTGAAGTAAGGAAATTAACTTCCCGCTCTCAGAAATTTCTCTCCGTCTTCTCTCTTCCACCCTGAATGTTAGGGTTTATTTCAAATTAGGGTTTTTCTTCTCATCTTTGGATTTCATTATCTAACATCTGTGTGAAAACCTAAGTTGTGTTTGAGTAATGGCGGGCGAAGAAGAGAATACAGAGTTCTACTTGAGATACTATGTTGGACATAAGGGCAAATTCGGTCACGAATTCTTGGAGTTCGAGTTCAGGCCCGATGGCAAGCTTCGATACGCTAACAACTCCAATTACAAAAACGATACCATCATTCGCAAGGAGGTTTACCTCACTCCCGCCGTTCTTCGCGAGTGCCGCCGTATCATTTCCGATAGCGAGGTTACAAACCCTAACCCTAATTTTATTTTATTTTTAATTTCTATCGCACACCAATAAATGGACCGTTAAATCTCAGATTATGAAGGAAGATGATAACAACTGGCCGGAACCTGACCGGGTGGGGCGTCAGGAGCTTGAAATTGTGATGGGGAATGAGCATATCTCGTTCACAACATCCAAGATTGGCTCTCTTGTGGATGTTCAAAGCAGTGCAGATCCTGAAGGCCTCCGCATCTTTTACTATCTTGTTCAGGTGATTGTTTTCATGGGTTTCTTTGTTGATATTTAAGAAGTATCTGAATTTGAAAACGAATTGAATTCGCCGACTCAGTGTTAGTTGTGCAATTGGAGTAGAGGACTAAGATTTAGATAACAAATAACAGAAACAAAGCCACATTTTGTTCTTATTCTAAGGCTAAAATATAAGTAGTATGATAGAAAATCAATTAATTAGGTACATGACTCTGTATTTCAGATTTTTTCTTTGAAATTTAGGCATATTAAAATTGCTTAAAAACTAAACAGAAGTAATTGCCTTGATCCGGGACCGAGGATTAGTCAAAGCACACATAACTCAATGAAGAGAACCGAAAATAAACTGACGTAGCAACTTAAATAAATCATTACTATGCATGAACCTAAAAATCACTAGTATAGTTGATGTAATGGCTTAATTTTTCAGAGAGGATATTGATGCTGGGATTTCAACTGATTTCAACATAGTTGATGTAATGGTTTCTATGTTTTGACCGATACTTTAGAATTCCATTGTTGTGATTTCTTGACTGAATTTCATCAGTGTTTTAGAGAGTGGTTTATATATTCCATCTTGTTTTGTTTATATGTTTTTGCCTTTCGGATCTTAAGTGGTGTTGCGACTCCCCATTGGTTACCCAGTTCTAGATTTGTTTAATGTCAGCTACCGTCCTTGGTTCATTCTTGCTAATTATACGTATTTTTGCAGGATTTGAAGTGCTTTGTCTTCTCTCTTATTTCACTTCACTTCAAGATCAAGCCTATATAAAAATGTTTTCAAGTATTTATAAGTTTGTCCTCTTGGGAATGTGCCTCTTTAAACAACTTTCACTTTTAGCTAATGAAGTTTGACATTTGTATTGGTGATGACCAAGAAAATCTGATTTGAATGGATTACTTTTGTACAAAGTATTTGTTTCTTTGTATGTTTGGTTTTTTTGGATATTTGGATATTCTTTCTCTTTGACTTGCTTCCATGGTTGTCCGCTTTCGTCCGGTTACAACTTACAACTGTATACTTGTCAAATACAAAACTAAAGTGATCCTTTAATGTCTCAAACTTCCATCATCGGTGGTTGGATTCAGTGGGAGTCTATATAGACCGGTTACCTTGCATTTTCAAAGTATTTGCATGAGGCTGATTTGACAGCTTGAAACATTGACCTTCTAGTCACACAACATATTATGCTGTTGCTTATGCTTTGAAAGTTCTTCATTATTATAAAAGAAGCCGAATGGTTGGGCTATTAAGAAAATGGAAACCGAGAACGGGTCATTAGTTCAAGATTGTATTCCTGAAAAAACCTGGATCCGGCGCCCATTCAAGATGAATATGCTCAATAAGCACTTTCTCATATTGTATACATTGACATGATGCTACACAGGGTGTGCCTCTATCTTGCTATCATGCCAATGCTCTTTACTTGTAATTATATTTTGAGGCAGTGGCTTAAACTTCAAATTTTACATTCCTGTGGAATATTCTCACTGTCCATACACTGTACAAGATAGAGATATAGAGAAAACTTGAGCATGATATTACTCAAAAGGTAGTACTAGATTCTTTAAGCTTTTCTATTCATAGAGCTGAATATTTGAACTGAACATTTTGTTTCACTTACCAAATAATAAAGATGACTCTGACCTCTAGTAGTTTTTATTACCTTGCTTGAACATTTATTTTATGCATCAATAAATCGTATAGCCAAAATGGAGGGGGACCTTCATCAAATGAGAGAGCTGCGGGTGACCTAATATCAGATTCTGTATCAATGGGTGCTTTCTGTAGCGCAACATAATTGCTAGTCTGATGACAAAAAATGTTAGGATTTCTCTTGCAAATTCATATGTTTAATGCATCACATGGCCACTTTCAACTCTCACTCCAAAATAGCACTGTTCATGTTGAAGTTAATGTTTCCTCAACTTATCCCAGCCATGATTCTTCCAAAAATTGGTAATAAAAGCATACATGTTACAATATAAGTTTAAATACGACATAAATGTTACAGTTCATTTCATTAGTTCACTTATGAAGTACATCTAATTTCGTATGCATGAAATTATATGGTATGTGAATATTAGGTTAAAATCATATACAACATATGGTTATAAAATCGGTTAAATTGCATATGATATTTGTTTTCAAAGTTAAAAAGTCACATGGTATTCACACGTAGAATTTTGTGATGGTGGAAAAGTGTGATTCGCATTATTAATGGATGATACTAAACCAATTATTACATTAGGAGGCTGAATATTTATTATGATTACAAAAAAAAATTAATAAATTAGGTGATTGTATTAATTCCATAAGGTTATTTGAAATCACGATCTTATTTACCTACATTGATTCAGTAGCCAATGCAGACTTCAAAAACAATAAAGTTGGGTGACCCTTACCATCTACTTTGTGGTACTGTGTAGCAGTAGGAATATTAAAGAGTTTTGTTATAGATTCTCCAGAGTATTGTCAATTTCGAATTACTACCAAGTCCAAAGTAAAAAGTAACTTGGAGTTTTCTTAAAGTGTTGTGAAAAGGATGAGTTTTGTTATAGATTCTCCAGAGTATTGTCAATTTCGAATTACTACCAAGTCCAAAGTAAAAAGTAACTTGGAGTTTTCTTAAAGTGTTGTGAAAAGGATACTGGAATGACAAAGTATAATCGGTTTTCTCCTTTTTTTTACTAGTTCATCATCATTGAGGTCTTTAGAAGCAGGAGGAGGAGTTTTCTTTAAGCTTTGCTCAAGATCCAACGGAGCTTCTCCGTTAGATGAAACATGAATTCTTGGATGTTTCTTATTTGGTTTTAATTGATCCTTGATGCATGCTCGATTAGCCACCTATTTGAGATTGTTTGATTTAATTTGGTGATGTATTTATGCAAATATTTTTGGATCTTCTTCATGCTTCATCTTGATTATCTTAATTTGTATTAGAGCTTTGAATCCATATTTATTTGGCCACTTATCTACTTTTGGTTGAGTCTTCAATTTGGTGTTGTGTTGAACATGATACTTGTGTTTTTAACCTAGTCTTTTGAGTTTGTTCTTTTGAATGATCCCTTAATGCTTGGTGCTCTTGTGTGACTTGAATGACTTGCTTGAGGTTTTGACCTTCATGTTTGGATGTCCATTGTATGATCATCTTGTATTGTTTACTTCACATGATCATTTGTTTTCTTTTGTGGATGACTTTGGTTGATGGATACCTAGTTTCTTGTTCATGTTTTGAATTCGATGCTTATTGAATCTTTCATGTTAACGTGAGTTTGTCTTGAATTGAAATGTTTGAGTTTGCTTTTAACCTTCTATGTTTACATGCCATAATTGCATTGCTTGAACCATATGTGATTTGTTTTCATGAGATAATTGGTTACATATGCATAACCATTAATGTGATTCATGTCGAATACTCTTGTGGTTCTTCTTTCATCTTTGAAATAATTTAATCATGACATGAGGCAGGTTCTGAACTTCCTTGATTCATACTTTACTTTACACCTTTTTGGCTTAACATTTTGTTTAATAATGTTTAATATGGTTTTAAGACATGCTTCTTTGTGCACTTCTATGATTGTCTTTACCTATCTTCTTGAACTTCAATGTGTGAATACTCTGATCATGGTTTGTGATGATTGGGAATATGTATGTTGATTGTGTGCTTTATCCTTCTTTGATGCTTTGATTCATATGATAAGCATGTTTTGACTTTGGCATTGATATATGTCACTTGAGAATTGATGGTTGATTCTTCTTACCTTGTTGTTGCTTTGACATCCTTCTTCTCTTCATTTCTTTTCTTTTCCTTTGAGTTTTGGATGCCTATTTGTTGTTTGAGATTGAGCTTGTTTAATCTTTACTTGTGTTTGATCACATACTCCCTTAAGACTCTTAGTCCAACTTAATTTCTGATTAAGGTTGCAGTATGATAGACATTAGAATCTCAATCCTTTGCATGACAACATTAGGGTAGTCCTTTCTTGAACTCAACCTTAGGTTCATCTTTGTATGATAACATTACGTAGACTTTTCTTTCTCATCCTCAACTATAGGGTCATATTGTATGACAACATCTAGGTGAGTTTCCCTTAGATTTTCTCTCTTCTCTTTGAGTCTCTCTCTTTTCTCTCAAATTAACTCAAAATACTTAATAAATACGATGTGTATAGTGCGTCACGAGCCTTAAGCACATGGGAAAAGATGAGTGGATGCATTCCTAACTTCATCTTAGGGTACTTTATGCGCGAGACGTTTGGATCGTTAGCGCAAAGTATTTGATCCTATGTCATAGAATTTAGTGCAATGTACATCTCAAACAAAGTCAATTCACTTCTCTAAAACTCTTAAACAAACTGTAAATCATTTTATCCTTCGGGATTGTCTGTCAAACTTTTTTTAGAAAAGGCATGTTACTTTCGTTCTATCGCAAACAGACATCGACCTTAACTGCTGGAATGCGAACTTAGCATCTCTCATAAAAGGCACTTAACAATTTGTAGACCAAACTACGAGTGCTATGATTTATTCCTTCTAGTCTGAATGAGGATATGCAGGCACAAAATGGCGAAGTCTTGGCGAGCACGCATCCGCTTTACACCCGTAGTCTCCCAACTACGTTGACTCTGACTTTCCTATTGCATAAGGGAATACGTAGGCTTAGGACGGACGAAGTCCTATCGAGTCTCCTTTTTGTTTTCCATTTTCGTTTCTATTAGCAAGTAGGCTTTAGATATACACACCCTTTAATTAGAACAACAAGAGTGGATGACGTTGACTACAACGGACGCGAGAGGGTGCTAATATTTTCCTCTTGCATAATCGACTCCCGAACTCAGGATTTGGTTGCGATACCAAGTTCCTCTCCTTCTTAAGATTTCTTTGAACGTTTGGTGGTGACTCTATTTTTTTCGCCGGTTGTTTTTCGCAGTTGCGACAATTATGAACTAGTATTCTTTACTTTCTCTTTGAAACAAGATTACAAGTGTTACAAAATAGAAAATAATATCTGTCATACCCCAAATTTTGACCCTATATGTCATCATCATTCTAGGAGCAACAAACATTGCATTGCTAACCCTAATATTGTTTAAATTGCCTTTTATCTTGCTTCATCTGAATTAGGGTTTTGCATTAAGAGAATCAAGAGGATCTTCACTTGATCAGTCAATGTCTTTGATTGATCATCAACATACCAAGTGTGCATACACCCAAGAGGCCTCTCTTCATCAAGAATCAAGTGCAAATTGGTCTTGTTACAAGTTCTTTGAAGCTCAATTTCATATGACCCCAAATTAGGGTTTTGTCAGGAAAAGTCAACTGTGCCTTTGACTTTTGGTCAAAGCATGATCCCAAGCTTTGGGACATGATTAAAGAAACTCAAATACATCCTTGGATTACATCCATGATGTTTGGAAGATTCAAGAATGCAAGATCATTGAAGATCACACAGTTGAATCCATATGATACACAAGCTTTATCTGACAAAGTCAACTCTTTGACTTTTGAGGTTTTTGGTTAAAATTAAAGTCTTCAAGCCAAATCTCATCAAGAAATGTTTGATAATTGAGTTTGAGCATGAAAAATAAAGAATTGAGATGTTTCTCGCAAAAGGGGTAAAGTGGAAGAATTGAAAAATTTCTAAGTATGGGAAGAAAAACCCTAATTTGATGCCAACTTTGAAAAGTCATAACTTTCAATATAAACATCCATTTTTGTGTTCCAAATATCAATTTGAAGCCCTCACAACATACTACAACTTTTTAAAT